AGCTCCCACACTCCTGAAAAATGTATGTGCTCCACATATCAAATTGCAATTTCCCCAGCAGTCTTAACATCCATCTGCATGAAGAGGTAAAATCAATGGTCCACCCTTTGTCTACAACGGTCCACTCTTTATCTTATTTCCCACCTGTCCTTCAAGGCACAAAGGTTAGAGATTTGCTTCTAACTGGTATTACAGTAGAGGCACAAAATCAACATATGATTGCTTAAAAAGATTTCTTTCTTAGTCGTATCCTATATCTCTATTTCCCAATTTGCCTCTCTGCTGTTTTCCTTCACTCAAGCTCTGATAACTCATCTGAAATTCTGGATCCTCCTCCTGTACAATTATGAAATGGACTGACCAGTAAATTAGAAGAGTTTCACAAATGTACATTTCTATTTTCAATCCTGTCACTTTATTGATTTTTTTTAAAATTGCATCCAATATACAGTTGATGCTATGTCATTTACATAATAATTCTACTTAAAGAATTAGAGAAAAACATGTCACATGAGAATTAATTATTATTTTAAATATAACTTACATAATACGTATGCAAAAATTAAAATTCAGAAAAAGATGTTTGAAAATAAAATATACATGCTATGTCAAATAAATAAATAAAACCAAAGAAGATAAGTTAGTAACCATAGTTTATACTTTGATACATAGAAATTCTAGACCTCACTAGTCATATTAATAACACTTTTAAGTTCTTAGCTTGTCATCCAGGCCCTGTTCTAAGCACTTTATAAATATTACCTCATTTTCTGGTCTCAACAAACCAACAAGGCAATATGTCACTATTATCCTCAATTTACAGCTAAGGAACTGAGGCCAAAGAAGTTAAGTGGCTTGTCCAAAGTAAGACAGCTGATAAGTGGTAGAAATAGGATTCAAGCACAAGAAATCTCACTTCAAAGTCTCTCTCTCACCTAGGTAGCCAATGAGCCTCTGCTTAACTACACGATTTTACTCATCACCTTCCTTCCAATATTCTCCTGACTTCCCCTAAATCCATTCAGGCTCACTCATTCTTTCATTCAACTGGACACTCTTACAACTATGGCATGTGTGCTTTGTTTGATTAATTAATTAATTAAGCAAAAAGAACGTTTAGCCCATTTCTAAGCATCTATTTATATTAAGGTCATTCTGTGAAGACACCTAGAGGTAATATGGTGATGACAAGGCTAATATTTTTATAAACTTATTTACCAAATTTAATGATAACTGCCTTTGAGGTTTTCTTTTATCACTAAATAAGATAATATACTTAAAATTACAGATTTAATACACATGTTTTGAAAATAGTTAAACATAAAAAATGATTACCAGATGGATAGTATAGAAATATTATTTAAAAGAACAATATTCTTAGAGATTAGGATTATTTTATAAAAAAAAAAAGTTAGTGTAGAGATAAACAGTGGATGGATGGATCAGTGTGTGGATGGATGGATGAATGAATTTATGGAAGGAAGGAAGAAAAAGAAAAGGGAAGGATAAGAAAAAAAGAGATTCTATGCCGTTTCCAAGGAAATATGAAATGGATTGTAATCATGTCAGGAATAGCATAAAGCAAACTCTGAAGTGGAATTAACTGGGAAGGATGGTTATTAAGGCTTACCTAGATCATACCTTTTGAAAGTAAAGGGAAAAAAGCAAGTGTGAGTAGAGGGAAAATTAAATATCAAGATAGGACCATACCAGCTTTGACCAACCACATGGGCAGTTTTGGAGCTAGAAATGTAGTCTTAAATTTGTCCTCTGTTGGAGTGAAATGGCCAGGACCTTTTATTTCTGAAAATACCAGTCATTGGATATAGGAAGGCCTGGGAAAGGCTACAACCTTGGATGAGGAAATCCACGAAGGGCTACCACTAAACTGTCATCACTTTCTGCACTGGAACAAGTTCTCAACTAAAGGGGATTGGGCAGTACCTCACAGTATCTGCCATATGGACAAGTGTTGGACAATAATCTACTTCAATTCTGGTCCCAAGTATAGTGGCATTCTAGTCAGCAAATTATATTTACTTCCCTATGAATCAAAGTAGTGAAAATTTAGCCTCATTGAAAATTTAACCTTGGAGGAGCTCTGTGTTATTTTTACTTAGTTGCTGTGGAGTAGATTCAGACTCATGGCAACCCCATGAGTTTCAGAGTACATCTTTGCTCCATAGGGTTTTCAGTGACTATGACCATTCAGAAACAGATTGCTAGGCCTTTCTTCCAAGGTCCTTCTGGGTGGATTAAATCTACCAAACTCTTGGTTAGTAACTATGTTCTCAACCATTTGCCAGACCCACAGATTTCCATTTCCCACATTGTTGTTGTTGTTGTTGTTATGTGCCATTGAGTCGGAACCGACTCATAGCAACCCCTCCTTGGGTTTCCAAGGCAGTATCACTCTGGAAGTAGATTGCCCAGCCTTCCTTCTGAGGAGTGGCTGGTGGATTTGAATCACCAGCTTTCCAGTTAGCAGTCAATTGCCTCAGGCACTATGCCACCAGAGCTCCTTGGTACAACATGGTACATAAAAATCATGTTCTACAACCTAATTTGGTGAGTAGCCTGGGGTCTTAAAAGCTTTCAAGCAGCCATCTAAGATGCAACTATTGGTTTCCTCTCATCTGAATCCAAGAAGAGTGAATAAAATCAAAGTCATCTGGAAACAACTAGTCCAAGGATAAGATGGACCACGAAGACTTCAGCCTTCATGACCCTGGATAAAATGGAGGAAAAATGTGGAACCAAATTCAAAAACACAAAAGTGACTGGAATTACTGGTCAGATAGAGTCTGGTGGGAACCCCCCCTCCCCTAAGACTATGGCCCTGGTTACCCTTTGGGCCTAGAAATGGACTCACTCCTATGCATTGGCTCTCAGCCCAACAGTAGAAAGACCTACATGCAAAACACCTACCCCAGAGCAATGCACCCACCTATTCTAGGGAGAGGCACACCTTAGAGCAATCATCCTTGAGACACCAGAGGGGCAGTACTCACATAGAGGGAAAGCTGGATAGACAGGAATGCATAGTTAAAAGGGGCACAGCAAGTGAGTAGTCACAGGACGAGAGGGAAGGGGAGTCTGTTATGGTCCGGGATGGTAATCAGTGTGTGAAATCAAATGTGCATGAACTGTTGAACGAAAAACAAATTTTCTTTGTAAATTTGCACCCAAAGCACAATATTAAAAAAAAAAAAAAAAAGAGGAAGAAGCAGCAAATGTAAGATTAAAAATATGACTCCTGAAAAGAAAAAGAATAGCCAGCTTGAGAATTAATTTAAAAAATTCATCTTTACAATTTTATTTCTCTAGAACCACTCTAAGTTCCCAATGCTAGGATCTCTAGAAAAGCAAAATGTATGAAGTTTATATATGTACATATATGTTACTTGTTAGTTGCAGTTGAGTCACTTCTGACTCACAACTACTGTTTTGGTTACCTAGTGCTGCTCTGACAGGCATATACCACAAATTGGATGGTTTTAACAAATAGGAGTTTATTCTCTTACACTTTGGAGGCTTTAAGTCCGAGTTCAAAGTACCAGGCCCCTCAAGCTTGGGCTTCAGCTCTGCCTCCTGCTCCCGGCCCACTGAAGCTGGAAGCTTTTCTTCACTCAGGCAGCTGCTGGCTGCTGAGGCTAACAAACCCAAGGTGACAAGTAAAAAGACACAGTCCCAACATCACCAAACAATATGGCAGGCCACTAATTCAAGTCCAGGAAAAGTCCCAAGATCGGCAGAGCATGGCAGGCTGCTGAACAACAACTTGGCTACATGCAGCATTCAAGCCTGCCAAAAGCTAGAGACATTTCTTAAAGCTGCTTCTTAAATACTGGAAGCAGACTATATCCCTGAAGGAAGTGATTACATTATATCAGATCTCATCATAGGGGATGACTACCTCATAACTGCCAAACCAGAGAATCATGATCCAGCTAAATTGACACACAATCTTAGCCATCATAGTATCAATGCCTCTGCAGAGATATAATAAATTCAGAAGATATTAGCATCCCCACACACAAGTTCTCTCCTCTCTCACAGACATCACACTCTTTCATACAACATGACAGAAAAATATAAGCCATATTTGATTAAATAGTATGATTCTTATTATAATCTTATATTTAATTAAGTGGTTGGTAAAAGGGGAAATGGTAAAGAAGGAAAGGCACATTCAAACATTGTTACAAAGAATGTAAATTGACATTGACACAATTTAACGTATCTGTGAACAACAAAAATGAACAAATCCTTTGATCTGGCAATTCTACTTAAGTGAATTTTCCTACAGATATATTCAAACAAATACAAAAAGGTACATCCACAGGAAAGGTTTGATGTGCCATTGTTTATAATAGCCAAATAAACAAAAATTAAAATGATCTTAATATCCATCAGTAAAGATGTGGTTAATATAATTTAAGGTAGCCATTAACAAAATGAGGTAGCTCTGTTTGTGTTGATATATAAGACATATTATATTATTAGCTCTGTATAAGTACATAACAGTTGTATGATATGTTCTCATTTGTTTCTTGACAAGTATATGTGTATGAACATAAAAATAGACATATAAATACAAAAATATGTATATCTATTGGCATATAGATACGACATGTTCATAGACATATTCTCATAAAATACATAAGAAAATGATGATTATTCCTTCTGAGACTTATCTCTTGAGGAAAGTAGGTTTCCATTATTTGATATATTGTATAAGTTTAATATTTTATCATGAGCCTGTGTTTTCTTTGTAAACTAATACCAATTCTCCAGAGAACTAGTTGGTAGCAGCTAAGATTCTAAAGTTTCAGTTGCTTAAGAATATGGACACACATTCATAAGAGTGTCTCTGTATTGTAGATGTCCTGAAAAACTCTAATTTCACTATAGGTCTTCCACTCTACAATTATTAGAAAATTAATGCAATAATTGTACAGTATCTTGATTCATTTGTCCTGGTGCAAGATTCCAATAACTTATAAGATCTGGAGATCCATCCCAGCAATCTCACTTTGTAACACCCGAGATGTCTTCTCGTTGTTTGTAGTATCATAGAGTGGATTGTTCTTCTCTGTATAGCTGGCATAGGGCTGCATTTCATCCTTAGAAAGAACTCAAAGTCAAAATCAATTTTTAAAAGCTAGAAAATTATCACAGAAATTTTGTTCTTCAAACAGGTGTCCACAGCTTTAGCATCTACTAATAATGCCTCTGGGCTTACATGAACATAAAAGCAAGACTGTATTCTGATATTTTATAAAACTATGTATATATTTATTGATAACTTAAGTCCCAATGTGAGGTGACATGAGTAGTATTTCGAAGAGAGAGTTGATAAGACTCTGAGCTGCTGGTTATAAGACATTAAGGAGCAGAATAGGTTTTAAGCTTGAGTAAGAAGGAAATGGTGCCAGTATTATTACTGAAAAAGGAAAGTCAGGAATTAGAGACCATTCCATAGAGGAAAAAACACCAATTCAGTTCTCCAAAGAGTACAGTCCAAACTAGGCAGACATGATGTATTCTACAGGATGTAAATAATGAGGTGAAACTGTGGACTTTGCAGTGGTACCACAGAATGTGGTAGTCAATTAACAAAAAGGAATACACCTTATTGTTAGCATTATAAAACCAAAATTTTTACTTTTAAACAAAAAAAACTAATAGTAATATAAATTGCAAATTATATTAGTAGATTTCCAGACTAAGGGTTAATAGCTTGTAAATATTCTTTTTTTTTATCTTACCTCCTCTGTTACTTGAACAGTTTCTGTTTTTGTCAGTTTACATTTTCTGTAAATAAATAAATAAACTGGAGTGAATGCATAGAACTTCATTATTTAGATTGAAAATAAAATAAAAAATATTATACTATTAACATTTGTTGTTCATTTTGGTAGAAGCTGTAATAAAACAGAAATAAATTACCAGAAATAAGTTTTTTTAAAAAATGCTGCTTATAGTTACAAATATGCAGCAAATAAGATAATTCCAGATTTTTGAAAAGGAATTAAGATTATACTACAGATACTTGATGTAATACAATATGTGTGACACTTTCTTTTTGGTACATGAAAGATTTGTTGCAATTTTTTTCTTAAATAGCAGACACCATCTCTCCAAAATCCTTCCCTATATGGCCTAATTCATCATGATGCATGTCTCAGTAACCTACAAGATCCATCTTAATTCAATGTTAAGTCAACTTTACCTGCTGCTTGATCATGGGAGGAGTAATGTTAATGTTACCCAGTCAGTAAATCCCACATTTCTGATTCTTTCCTAGCGTCACTAAAGCTAACAAAAAAAAAAAAAAAAAAAAAAAAGAAATCATTAGTGAATACCTGCATCCAGTGGTTTTCAAAAAACAAATAGATGAAATGATGATTGAGATGATAAGAATAGGAAGTACGGCAGATAGAATAAATAGGATTTCTGGTGTTTTGCCACCTGTAAATATAAAAACAAAAATATATGGTTTAAGGATGTCTCACAATATATGAAATTCATTTCTGTAGTCTTATTTTAAATATTTCTTATTTAAAACACATATATTCTGTCCTATAAATAGTTCTAAAAATTATTATAATGAAATTGTTCCATCAATTCAGACTCCAGAGTTTCCAGAAAGACATCACCATATGTCAGGATTTTGCCACTTTTAAAATAAAGATTCATGAATGGTGAATCATAGAAGGAGAGACATAAAATTATCTCTCTCTGTTATATTAATACCAGAGTGTTTCTCACCTTCAATATTTGGAAACAAATGGGGTATTTTAAAAAAAGTATTTGAAAAAATCCTAATTCTGAGGTCATCTTTCTGTCAGGGTATTGACATGAAAATAAATGTGTGGCAGCACCATTGAAATGTGTAGTAACTGCTGGCAACAGTGTGTGGCTCAGTATTTAAAACTGCTGGTAACAATATAGAAAGTTCAATCTGACAAGAGGCTGACTAGTCAACAAAGGAATCACCCACTCTAAGAGGCAGTAGTTTCAAAACTGTGCTCCTTTTGTTCAGTGAACGTGGCTTCAGGGCAGCAGAAGGAGATGAAGTAGGGGTATAGAAGGCTGGCACCCCATTACTCCACCTTCCTTCAGCAGTTTGTTTTTTATGCTTTAAACATTGGATTTCTTGGTATTTTAATTGAAAATGAAGGGGCTGGTTTGACAGCTAAAACAACAAAACAGTTTTGAAACATAGTCTCAACAAATGAGGTCTCTTTTGTCAGAGGCTGAAGATCTACTTCGTCAGGATGACACAGGAGAGCCTGTAGTAGGTGGGAGTCCTTGTAAGATTCCACAAATATGACCTCATATTTTAACACAGAAAAGTCTGCTTTCATACAGAAACAGGGCACAATTATTCTTTTCAATAAATACTGTGAATTTAAAATAAAAGTCCACAGTACCTACTTTAACAAAGGATATTGAAAAATGCTGGCTTAAATATATGGATTTTTCTCTTCTCCCTTCTTAAAACAAAAAATCACAATAAAGAAAATTTAAACATATAAACCTGAAAAGACAAAAAGTACAGAAATAGAGATAAGAGCAGAAGAGAGATTTCAACCTGATTTTAGGAAAATGTGCAAAGTAAGAATGACAAATTACAAATGGTTACAGAGTGGAATAAGTAAAAAAAAAAACCTCACTGCCATCGAGTCGATTCCAACTCATAGCAAACCTCATTGGGTTTCCAAAGCTGTAAATCTTTACAGAAGTAGATCACCTCATCTTCCTTCTGCAGAGCAGCTGATGGGTTTGAACCTCAGACCTTCTGGTTACCAGCTAAATGCCTTATCTACTACACCAGCAGAGCTCCTTTTTAGTACCAACAGAACTGCAGAAAGACTTAGAATAAATAGAAAGAACCAAAAACCAAAGAAGGGAGTGTGGGCTCTGAAGTGTGGGATTAAAAGTTGGGACCTTGTTTGAAAGTCTGTAGAGAAAGCTGGTGGGTTGCCAAAACAGGAAATTTACCTAGAGACAATAAACTGGAGAGAATCCAGAGTCAAGGTTCCAGGCATAATGGAGATAAGACACCAGACTGAGGAGAGGTATTAAAGGCAAGTCTGCATTCTGAATAGTGACGCCCACACATTAACAGTTTTCTCCCAAAACCCTGAAAAGCTTAGCAGCTTATCCCATCAACACAAGAGACTGGAAAGTGTGTTGTTTTGCAGGACTTAAACAGCCTCAAGCAAAAGACCTTCAGATGCATGAGGAATTCCAAGTTTATAAACATTTCATTTGCCACATTTTCACTCTGTTGTTGTTGTTGTTGTTAAGTGCTGTCGAGTCGTTTCTGACTCATAGCGACCCCATGCACAGCAGAACAAAACACTGCCCGATCCCATGCCAGCCCCACAATCCCCGCTATACTTGAGTCCATCATCGCAGCCACCGTGTCAGTCCATCTCGTTGAAGGCCTC